GAGAGGAGATGCAGGAAGATAATAAACAGACAGGACAGAAAAATAGTCAAATAAAAACAAGTTAGTTTTTGTACCTGCTGTTGCAACAAACAGACACCACTGAAGGTCATCAGAAGTGAGGAACAGAAAATGAAATAATTATTTTAATGTTTAGAGCAGCAGGAACTCCGAGAGGCTGCAGGCGCATCAGTGAGTTTGCGGCCGCTGCCCAGGGGGAGGGGGGAGAGGGCTGAAGCAGAAACTACCGTTGTTAAAAGAAATGTGTTTAACTTTGAAAATGTGGGCGCAATTTTAATTGTCAAAAACTCCAGCGAACCATTAGTTCATTTTGCTCTAATAGAAATAGAGGCCTGCCTCTAATACTGGCCCTCCTTCCAATAAAGGCCTGGAGCTTGATGAGCTTGAGTCAAATACAGGCCCGGGCCTGTATTAGAGGATTTACGGTAATAATAATAATAATAATAATAATAATAATAATAATAATAATAATAATAATAATTATTATTATTATTATTATTATTCTTATTACTATTATTATTATAATGATTGTTGTTTCAAATCATCCAGACGCTCCAGCATGAATGACTCAGTACTTTAGTTTTATTTCTGAGAGACTGAAGGTGAAGCTTTGGGAATAATTATCAGCAGAGGAAGAAGAAAAGTGTTTTTACAGCTCAGAGTTTTTTCCTGTGATGTTTTCAGAATATTGAGGAATGTCGACTTTTTAATTAGTCTCAGTTGAGTTTCCCTTCTAACACTCGCTAACGCTGATGAAACACCAAACACAAATCCGAGCAGCTCAGAGTCGGGGTGATGTCAGCTCATAACGCTTCATTTGTTGCGTTTGTTTTTATTTCCACAGAAGAAAGTGTAAACAAATTATAAAACAGGTGAGAGCATTCTGTCTGCTGGTTGGTCAGCTCGTCTGGGGGCGGGGCTACCAGTAGGCATCATGTTTCTGACCTAGACGTGTAGGTGCACCAGTGCTGCCACACATGGCCCCTTAACTCATCCGTCTTTCTTCACCTGTCCACAGCGATGCGACTTTGCACAGAGGAGTGTCGGGTTCTGGGTCACTCAGACCAATGCTGGATGCCCCCCCTGGCTGCCCCGGGCTTGTCCTCCGCCGACTACAGAAGCAACCTCTACATCCCCGGGGAAGAAGCCCACCCAGCTGCTGACATCGCTCAGGAAAAGATCTCCCAGCCCTGCACGGACACCTGTCCAGCCCGGAACCAGAGCTTCTCCACCTTTGGTAAAGACTTTGGTGGAGAGGACGGTGAAGAGGAGGACGGTGAAGAGGACGGTGGCGCTGAGGCGACAGATGAAGACCTGTGTGGGACCACGTCACTGCTGTCAGAGATGAGCAGCGTGTTCCAGAGGTTATTGCCACAAGGCCTGGATTCTTACGTCCAGGTCAACGAGAACCAGAAGGGAACGAGTCTGAGTGGCGTTGGTGTTCCCATGACTGGGTCTTTAGACCGCAGGAGGGGCCATCTCCCCGGCAAGCCCAGTCCCTCTGTGCACCAGCAGGGGGTGGCAGCCTGGGCTGCCAACACTCACTTTCAGAATCCAGGTAGCAGCATCGGAGGCTCCGCCCAGCACCAGGTAGGCAGCTACCACACCCTTAAAGCCAACATCAAGCTCAGCTCCCACAGCAGCAGCCAGAAGGGCTCCCAGGCACCCAAAAACAGTCCCCAGAACAGCGGACACGCCCCCAAAGCTAACAGTAGCCTTGTGCTAACTGGTCTGGTCAGCCCCACGCTGGTGCACCCGTCCCTGGCTCCAGCTCCACTGCCAGCTCCAGTCACTGGGCTTCCTTCCAAATGGCTGCCAGCCATGGAGGAGATCCCTGAGAACTATGAGGAAGATGATTTCGACTCTGTCCTCAGCCACCTGCAGGGCAAACGCAGCGACAGTCGACACGAGCTGGTGGACGCCAGCGAGCTGGTGGCTGAAATCAACAAACTCTTACAGGACGTCCGGCAGAGCTAGGACCTTTATTTATGGCCCCTCAGTCCTTCACGGGACCTAGAACAATCCCGAGGTGTCAAAAAAGTCAAAAGCAACTAAAAAATAGACGAAAAGAGAAACGAGACATGAAACTGTCTTAAAGTTACATTTCAGATAAATAACTGTGTTTTGTGAATGCTAAATATCCAAAAAAATGTTGGTTAAATGCTGGTTTAGTACACAATGTACATGATGTGGAAGTATTTATCTTTGTATTTTAAAAATACATTTGTATACCTTTATTTATAAAAGCCATGTACATAAATGTAATCAAAAGTCTATTTTTATATTTATTGCATGTTGAGTACAAAAATGTTGAATCAAACTTTGACATGCAACTGACATTCTGCCTATTTAAACCGTCTTTTGTATTGTGATTTTTTAAATTTGTCCCTATTATATGTGTACATGGATGGATTATTGGATACTCTTCTCTGTGATTTATTGTGAGGAAGGTGACGTAGACGAATAAAGTATTAAAGAAAGACCTGCAGCCGTGGCCTCATTCTCCACACACGTACTTAGGAACAACTGTCCTGCTGCTTTACACTTCATCCAAACATCCTGAATAATGGACTGAATTATCTTTATTGAACATGAATAAGTAACACACACAATCTGCTAATAAACTTGTCAGCCACAGCGTCCTGGTTTGTTTGGAACACAGCTTTTATTTTGGTGAGAAATTTGGTCTAAAAGCACCAACGACCAGATAAAACCCACTAAAGCATCAAAATCCTTCACTAATTCAGCCTGAAGGAATGTTTCTGGTATCTTACTGCCAAAAGAAACATTCAGCATTCCATCATCCATCTCTTAGCCAGTAACTGGGAAACAAAAAGCATTTTAGAGGCCGGCTGTGAGGAGGAAGAGCTGCATAAACAGATGGAAGGAGATGGTGAGAAGAAACTAAGAGGTGTTGGTTTTCATAAAGGGCTGGAACACCTCCCACCTGCTCCTCCTCTGTTGGACCAGGACTGACACCTAGAGGTTGAAGGTGCACACTGTCACCTAACATAGATCCAGACACAGCAGATGACCATACAGAGCCCCCTGCAGGAGCTCCTGGGGAACTGCAGCTGCATCAGAACCACAATGAAACATCACAGAGAAGCAGGCTGAGCTAAACTGCTGCTGCATAATGAAATATAACCTTTGTTACATTATTAAAATCCATCCATCCATTTTCGTCCAGTTATCCAGGGTCGGGTCACGGGGGCAAGCAGTCTAAGCCAAGGGGCCCAGACTTATGCCCACACACATGCACACACATATAAACACATGCACACACATGCACACAGATGTAAACACATGCACACACATGTACAAACATGCACACAGATGTAAACACATGCACACACATGCACACATATGCACACACATATACACACATGTAAACACATGCACACACATGTACACACATGCACACATATAAACACATGCACACACATGTACACACATGCACACACACATAAACACACGCACACACATGTACACAAATGTACACACATGTATACACATGTACACATATGCACATACATATACACACATGCACACACATATAAACACACGCACACACATGTACACAAATGTACACACATGTATACACATGTACACATATGCACATACATATACACACACGCACACACATGTACACAAATGTACACACATGTATACACATGTATACATATGCACATACATATACACACACGCACACACATATAAACACACGCACACACATGTACACAAATGTACACACATGTATACACATGTACACATATGCACATACATATACACACACGCACACACATATAAACACACGCACACACATGTACACAAATGTGCACACATGTATACACATGTACACATATGCACATACATATACACACATGCACACACAAGCTCACACGTACACACATGCACACATATATAAACACATGCACACACATATAAACACATGCACACACATATAAACACATGCACACACATATAAACACACGCACACACATATAAAAACATGCACACAAATGTACACACATGTATACACATGTACACATGCACACACATGCATATATATATATAAACACATGCACACACATGTACACACATGCACACACATGTACACAGATATAAACACATGCACACACATGCACACACATGCACACACACATATACACACATGTATACATATGCACACACATGCACACATATATAAACACATGCACACACATGCACACACACATATACACACATGTATACATATGCACACACATGCACACATATATAAACACATGCACACACATGCACACACAATTACACACATGTATACATATGCACACACATGTACACTCATGTATACACATGCACACACATGCACACACATATACACACATGCACAGAGATATACACACATGTACACACATATGACCACATATGTACACACATGCACACACGTTCACACACATGCACACAGATATAGACACATGCACACATATGCACACATATATACACACACATGTACACACGTGCGCACACGTTCACTCACATGCACACACATGTACACACATGCACACACATTCACACACATGCACACACATGTACACACATCCACACAGGTTCACAAACATGCACACACATGCACACACATGTACACACATGCACACTACAGGGTGACATGGGTATTTTCTTTGCTTTCCTAACCCACTCCTATTGTAGAAAATCCTCTTGTCCCAATCCCAGAAAGCAAGGAAAAATCCCAATCCCAATAACATCATCCCCACTACCTCCCAGTCTCAGCAGATATTGTTAAGTTGTGTTGATTCGTATCAATATAAGCTACAAGCAGGTACATAAACTATACCTACATCAGAGGTCGCACTAGACATGTTTGTTTTCATTTTGACAGACAGAGTTTAAAAACAGTCATGATATTTTCTTCTCGTCTTTTTCATTTCTCAGATAATAAATACAAATTTACAATTTCATTTTCATTCATTTTCATTAATATTTAGTCTAAACAAGCTGACCAGATCATCAATTACATTACATTAATGTTACAATTAAACAATTTTACCTGCTGCGTTCTGGTTCTGTTATACACAAAACACACAAGCTTACAATATATTGAAGTACAGTGATCCCTCGCTTCATTTATCGAGGATTCACAAATTCGCGGATTTTTTCTTTGGAGTCTTATTCAAGGGAAATTCGCCGATTCGCGGTATTTTTCTATGCGAAATATCAAGAAATTCCTGTTTTTTTCATCAATTTCATCATAAAATGCACTTTTTGTAATAAAACTATAAAAAAACAAGTAAAATTTTTTTCTATGTAAAGGGAGGGTTTTAAAAGTCTGTATACTGAATACGTACCTGTTAAATAAATACTGTAAATATGGTGTCCCTACTTCGCGGATTTTCACCTATCGCCGTCAGGTCTGGAACGCATCTACCGCGATAAACAAGGGATCACTGTACAACACCTGTCCCCTCCTCGGCTGTCTGACCGGGGTGTGGGTGTGCGCGCGGTGTTCAGGGGCCACAAAGAGGGGGCCCGCAGGCCACCTATTGAGGACCTCTGGTTGAAAGTGTCTACTACGTGTCGGGGTGATTCCAGTCCGTCAGAAAGACCAGCAGCCTTGAGAATTTTCCATCAAATTAAACGGAAAATATCTGGTTAAAGATCCCTGCCTAACTTTTTTGCTTTCTTGTGAAGATGTCATGGCAGCCCTTCACACAACAGGAGTGTACCATTTTCTGCAGGTTTATAAGCTCACAACACACAAAGCAACCAACCAAGGTATAAACCTTTATTTATACACCTAGCTATCCCATCATGCAACGCACTGCAGCACCCAATATGTCATCTGACGAGGACCAATTAAAAGGCTCAGAAGAAGCGCTGCGGCAAAGACCAGAGATGACCTCTGATGGATTATTGAAGACGTGTCTACGTCACAGAATCAGAGCAAATTATCAGCAAACTGTCTCCAGTTGTGGTTTTCAGGAAGATTGTTTTATTCTGGCAAGTTAAGAGAAGAAGGACGTCGGTCATAATGTCTGCCTGTATGACGTGTTTTCACAATCACTGTAAGGGTCAGACTGAACTAAATGTAAATTAAAACAACACACTCATTTAAATTTGTTTTTACTCCCAATCCCGTTGCTTATATTTCCCGTTTTGTCCCAGTAATGTGATAAATAACTTGACTCCCATTTCACAGGAATCCCGCAGGAATCACGTGACCTATCAACACATTCTCCCACCCGAAGCGTCGAAAAATGACGCTGGGTGACCAAGCCTTCGTTTCCTACGCGTTGGGAGCCGTCGCTCTGGCTCAGGGTTAACATGAATATTTTTCCTGCAATGATTTTTTGCAGATCCTAAACGACACCAGATTAAAATGTGTTGATTTAATATTGATCTATCAGTCTATTCACACATAATAATAATAATTATTGAATTAATGTTCTACCATTCACTTCACATAAGTGTGTAAGAACATTTTCACTTCACACTAAGAGTTAACCTCTAAGTATCTGAGTGAAGGCGTGATCTTCGGAGGTCTTTGGTAACGCTTTTAAAACGTGTCAAATTCTGACTGGTCTGAAATGTTTAAACAACATTTAATAAATACAGGAATCACTTCCTGATCTGGTTAGTTCTTCAGCTGCCTCCTGATTAGTGGGCAAGCATTAGGGACCGTCCTCTTTGTTGACCCCAAGGTCAAAGCCTCTCTGCAAGGCTTGCAAGTGATATCAGACAACGGCTCCTTTCAGAGCCACCCAACACCTCAGACGTGGAACGTCTAACCTGCAGACCCTGGTTGCATCTCATGGCCAGACTAGAAATCTGAATTAAAAGGGAACTGCGACTCTTTGGGAGCCCTGTAGCGACAACGTCCGGTAAATCACCAGTCTGGCTGGCGGAGAGCAACAGTCACACAAGGTGTACCGTAGGCTCTGCACGATGGTGTCAGATGGTTTTATGATCAATCTCCAGCTTCTCAAACCATGCAGCCAAACTGATTTTACATCCCAGACTTCACAAGATCTCTCGGATACTTTCAAGGTTCTGTTAAAACGTCTAGCTTCCATTCCACTTATCATCTGTTATTTGTAACAACCATCATTTCATTCGTACTTTGTCTTGTATAATTATTAAGTTAGGAAAATAGAATTAAATTCATTTTTATAACTATATCCTTGACTCTGTCTGAATTAGTAGGGAGTGTGTGTTCCCTGAATAGTCAAAGAACCTAAAGGTAATATTAATTCTAATATTCAAAGACCAATCAGATTGATAATTCATATTTATTTGGAATATCACATCTTATTGATCATTTAACACACTGAACATGGGTTCTCCACCAGGAAGTGAGCCCCTTCTGACCACATGCTTCACTAATGGAGGTTCCACAACGTCTCCTTGGAGGTTCTTAGATGACACCGCTGTGTTGACGGTTAAGAACGTGTGATTGGCAGATGC